AAGTCAATCAATACATGATCATTCATGGACAAAATACTTATTTTGTGTCTCTACCCTATGTTAGTTGCAGTAGCAGCTCCCATGAACACCATGTTGACCAAGACACACATGGTCTTTCACCTCTTGGATTTCCCAGTCTAGTGGGTAAGACACATCAAGAAAATACACTAATCAATGGACAATTATTAAAATATGGAATGAGTATGACTAAAAAACTATAGGGAAAGCACTTTGATGGGCTAGTGGTTAAAGTTTGGTGTGCTCTGCTTTGGTGACCTGGGTCCCTGGCGTGGAACCACACCACTCATCTGTCAGTAGCCACGCTGTGGTGGTGGCTCATATAGAAGAACTAGAAGGACTTACAACTGGAATATACAACTACGTACTGGGACTTTGGGGAGGGAAAAAAAAGAGGAAGATTGGTAACAGATGTTAGCTCAGGGTTAATCTTTCCCAGAAAAACAAAAAAACTATAAGGAGATCTAAACAGTGAAGATAGAGAGGGCTAGCTTAGACTGAGCAGTTAGTTATCTCACAGAAAGTGCTTTATTAGCTAAGACTTATAGGTAAGTGAAAGGCAGCGGGGTGAAGTCCGGAGGGAGCTCTCTCCAGGCAGAAGGAGGAGTCTGTGTGGGAACACTGGGGCAACAAAAGCTTGAAACATCCCAGGAACAGAAAAGAGATACATGCGGCTGGAACGGAGTGGCAGTGGTAAGGATCTTGTTACATGAGGCAGGAGAGGAGAACAAGGAGCTAGACATGTAAGATGTGTGGATTTACTTATAACATTAATGAGAACCTCATCTGGGCTGGACATTTTCATACAGGTGATTTCATTTTATTCCCATAATGATCCTGAAAAGCAGGTACTCCTTTCCCATTTCACAAATGAGAAAATGAAAGGTCTAGCAGGGTCATTATTAAGTGGATTGACCCAGTAGATAAATAGCAAAGATGATATCACAGCCACAGCCTTGTTGGCCTCTCCAGTCCCTGCTTTTCCAACTGGACTAGGCTGCCTCAGTCCGATGGTTTGAATAGAAAGAATTTTTTAAAAACAATAGAGTATGGGGGGAGGAGAAGAAAAGAAAAAAACAAGTTACAAAACTCCCTAGAAAGATAAATATGAAATATGAAAGAGGAAGCATTTGCTGGGAGGACTGGGAAAGAGAAAGAATGAAAAGGAATCTTGGATCAGTGGAGTCAGAGATGGGGGTACAAGGGGAAACTGGAGGAGAATCAATTGCATCAATAATGAAATGTAACTAATTAAATCCATGATGAAATGTGACTGAGTGAAGAGGAAAGGACAAGGGAAGAGAGAAGCTGAGAGGGAAAAGAGTGGAGCCCCTGGCCACAACACAGGACACTGGAATATGAATAGGGAAGGCACAGCATACTGGGATAGGTGGGGAACGGGTGGCATGCTGTGGCAGAGAGAATAAGGATTTAGGAGTGAGGCCAACTTGCGTTCCACCACTTGATAACGGCATGATCAAAGTCAAGTGTCTTAGCTTCCCTGAGCCTGCAATTTGACATCTACCAAATGGGGATAAGAAGCTTTACCCCAGAAGTTTCTGGGATTATACTTCAAAGATGTAGTTATAATTTATTGAGCACCTACTATGTTAGGCACTTTGCATAATTATTTCTGAAGCCTCACTACCACCAGAAGGCAGGAATTGTTATCATCGTTCAGGGATAGAACACATAAAGTTTTGAAGTCGCAGAGTATGTGTTCAGAATATGAGTTCTTTTCCTGTGGTCTTTCCAGATTTGACACCGCCTTCTAGGTGAAGTTGGTCCTCCTCAAAATGAACGGCCAATTCCTTGCCTGTCGTTTCTGTCTTGTCTTCAGTCATTCCCTCTCCCTCCTCACTGAACTTCCTCCATCGCTCCTTTTAAGCTTTGCCCTCTCTGCCCTCCATTTGTTCCACTGTGTTCTAAGGCAGGTGTCTTGGCTGCAAGCAACAGGTACCAATTCCGGATAATTTAAGCAGAAACAGAATTCTGTAAAGTGATGTTAGGTTACTTCGAATCTCCAGGAAGGCATGGGATCTGGGCTTAGAGGCCATGAAGTCAAGAGCACCACTCCAAATCACGGCACAGAACTGGCTGATGGAGATATTATTGTAGCAGCTGCAGTCAGGCATAAACAAGGCAATTGATACTCTTGACACCCATGACACTGCGCTCTGAGCAGGGCTGTTAGAGCCATTTCCACTAGCAGTGAAACCTGGATGTGGCCACTTTGGTCCCAAGTAGATTCTGCTCCATTCCAGCTTCCTTGCCAGCATCTGGGGTGAGTGGGTCTGATTGGTGAACTGTCACATGCCCAAGTCCTAGCTGCAGTGGAGACTGATAAAGTCCCTGGAAATTTTAGCCTCTTCCCGGGAGGTGGGCTGTGCCTCCAAGAGTGAAGCATCCTCTGATGCAGGAAATTCATTCAGATGCTGAGCAGTTGCAAAGCATGCCGAATGCCAGCTTTAACTTGGAATGTCCACCCCCATGCTACTAGTTCTTGATGGCTCAATTCCAATGTCACCTCCTCTGGGAAGCTTTCTTTGATTTCTCCAAGCATAAGTTTCAAAGCCTCTCATAAAAGAAACACATGTCTGTCTGCCTACCCGCCTGCCTGGTATCTGAGATATTTCTGTGCCTGTCTCATTGCCCTCCCCCCGTCATTATAGGTTCTCCAAGGGCAGGAGCTGTGTTTATCCATCTCTCCATCCCCATATAGTGCCTGGTAGGAGCCCTGGATATTTGGTGATGAATGAATGAATGAAAGTGTTGGTCGCATTTGACAGGCCTTTGTACCAGAGGTCCATGAAGGACTTGCACAGACTCTGCCTTACATAAGGGAGCCCTTTTTTCCTGGTGTGCACTTCTATAAATGGACTATGTCAGCATATTTGAAGAAAGGGGCATAGAGAATCGGAAAGCCCCATTGCAGAGGATAGTGGCGGATTGTACGGGTACAAAGGAGAGACTGAGGGAGGCAGGGCGACATATTTTGGAGGAGTAAATGAACTGGAGCAGGCATCAGAGAGGCAGGAGACGATTTCGAATCAGAGGACTTGAATGACCAGATTCCACCAGCCCCCACCTTGGGTTCACAGATTAGTAAACTGAGACAGGAGAGGCACCCTTACAAACCTCAGAGCTGAAACAGACCCAAACGCGCTCATACAGATACGTCCTTCACAACATCTTTGATAGGTGGGCTTTTCAAGGTCACAGAGGACAGAGTAATCTCAGGGAAGCAGCCAAGGCTTTGGAGCCTGGAGTTCCAGTCTCAGCTCCTCTGTTCGTTAGCTGTGTGACCTTGGGAAGTCCCTTCCCCTCTCTGACCTCCCGATGTCAATTTTCTCATCTGGAAAATGGGAATCATCTTACTCATCTCATTGGGTTACGGTTCTGTATAAAAGGCAACATATGTACTTGTCTAGCACTAGGAGAATGCTTAATACACAGTATTACCGAGTCCAAGGTCACAAAACAGCTTTTGAATTTTCCTTTTTTTTGGTCCTCTGCCTTTATCCAAAGTCATAAAAAAGTACACAAAATACGATGAGAGGAAAAAGGTAATTCATGTGAAGGGTTAAAGATAGAAAGGAGGAAAGAAGCAGAAGAGGGAAGTGCTAGGAAGAGAGAAGTTAATGCACAGAGATGGTACAAAATGTGCACATGGGCGAGCAATACAGAGATGGGAATGGCTCACAAATTGTAGGGAGGAAGCATTTATAAGATTAAAGTCAAGATGAGGAAGAAGGAAATGAGTAGAGAGATGAAAGAGAGAACAGAGAGAGGAAAGATGAAGAAAGTAGGGGTGTGGAGAAGGGGGGGGGCCGCTTGAGCACTAGATCCCCGGGGAGATGACACTTCCCTGGAGGACGCGAGTAGGTGAGCCACAGAGTCGGCCCAGGGCCAAAGGCTGCCCAACGTCTGAGGACCTAGGTTTACTGACCAACTTGAATGTAGGCGAGGAAGGACTAGGGGTGAAGGATTGGTGAACAGACCCCTCCTCTGGGAATGGGGCAGAGGATGTAGGAGCCCGTGGGAGCCAGAAGCAGAGCAGTAGGTCTCTCCCTCGCACCTTTTTAGGAATTTCACGCAGGGGGCAAGAAGCAGCCAAGTAGATCTGCTCCAGGCTAGGAGGAGGGATCCAAAATAAAAGGGTGTGAGTGGGCTGGTTTGCAGGGCGGCAGCTAGGGACCGGGAGCATCCTGGCCCGAGTCAGTTTGAGAGAGTAGGGGCTAGAGGGAGGAGTTCAATACCCCTGTGTCCATTAGCAGTTAGCGTACTACCGAGGCCTGGGTGGAGGGGAGAGGTCAGGATCTGGTGGTGGGAAAATGAATGCGTGAATTGTGGGCAAGTGGGTGGGGAGGGGGCTTTGAGGCCACAAGGAATTATTTCAGGGACTAGAAAAGGGTACAGGACTTGTTATTGGGCTTGAGCGAAGACAAAGTTAAGCCTTGGCCATCCAGAAGCGCCCCTGACTCCCAAGAAGGCGGGGCCTGGAGCAAGGCTGGGCTAAGGCGCGCCCCGAGGTGCAACCTTCGGATTGAGCCAGGGGTGGGGTGAAGCTGGGCAAGCTGGGTTGAGCCAGAGGGAACCAGGGGAGGCGCGAGGGGGTCCCTAAGTCTTAAGAATTTGGAGAGGGGTGCTGTGGCCAAAGAACATCGGGAGGGCGGCATTGGGGGATCTTGGGAAAGGAGAAGGGGCGACTGGGATTTGCACGAGGCCGGGCGGAGCCTCCGAAACGCTCGGGGTCTGCGGGGGGAGCCAGAGAAGGGGGCGGGCGGCGGGGCCCGGGGAGGCGGCGCGGCGGGGCGGGCCGAGCGAGAGGCGGAGCCGGGAGCTGGGGGCTGCTGGCGAGCGGCTCCCACGGCTCCTTAGCTCCGGCGTCCTGGTTCGCTTCGGCGTCCGCCGCTGCCGCCTCTTCTTCCTCCTCCTTCGCCACCGCCGCCGCGGCTCGCAGCACCGCAGCCGCTCCCGCCATGGCCGCCGCCGGCGCCCGGCGCAGCCCCGGCCCCGGCTTGGGGCTCCGGGGGCGGCTGAGGCTCGGCTTCCACCCGGCGCCGCCGCCGCCGCTGCTGCTCCTCCTGCTCCTGCTGCCGCCGCCGCCGCTGCTGGCCGGCGCCACCGCCGCCGCCTCGCGGGAGCCCGACAGCCCCTGCCGGCTCAAGACCGTCACGGTGTCCACGCTGCCCGCTCTGCGGGAGAGCGACATCGGCTGGAGCGGCGCCCGCGCCGGGGCCGGGACTGGGACCGGGGCCGGAGCTGCCGCCGCCGCCGCCGCCGCCGCGTCTCCGGGCGCCGCCGGCTCCACGGGCACTGCCGCCGAGTCGCGCCTCCTGCTCTTTGTGCGTAACGAGCTGCCCGGGCGCATCGCGGTGCAGGACGACCTGGACAACACCGAGCTGCCCTTCTTCACCCTGGGTAAGGCGGGGCGCCGGCACACGCGGGGTCCCAAGGAACCGCGAGCCCCTAAGTGAAGCCGACTGGCGGGGGCGCCCTGTGGATCCCCGCCCCGGGCTGCCCCGAGCGGGGTTGGGAGTGGGCAGCTGAGGGGCCCAGAGGGCATACAGGTGGTTGGAAAGGAGTACGGGCCAGGAGGTCCCGCAGAGCGCGTGGCGGGAGCTCGGGGGCGTGCCAACCCTCCCGCAGCGGTCCCTAGGTCTGTCAGTCCAGACGCTGAGCTCTGCCGCGATTTGTTCCTGACGTCGGGACCCCAGATCGCCGAGTGTGCTCGAGCTAGGGGCCAGGGTAGTCCCCTCTCCGAAGCCAGGTCCAGGTCCAGCCGCCCGCTGCTCCTCTGGGTATGGTCACTGGCCGCCCGCGGTTACCGCCCCCTCGCTCTCGCTTCGGAGTTGTTGACTCTGCTCTTCCGGATGGATTTTCCCGAGAATCGGAGCGGAGAAGCTGCACGTAGAATCATCCAGTCCGTGTAAACTCGGTTTCCGTATGGGTTGGGTGACCTTGGACATGTCGCTTCCCCTCTCTGGGCCTCAGTTTTGGCCATCCGTGCAATGGGGCTGGGGAGGATTGAGTGATTTCTGAGGACTGGGAATCTGAGCCCTAGGTCTTCACTTTCAGATTCTGCGATCGTCCCTCCTGTCGCATCGCTTTTCTAGTCCCCTCCCGGCGGAGAGCGGGTTTGTCCCCGCAACTGACTCTCTGGGCTCATAATAATAACTTAAAGGCCAGAAAAAAGAAGGGTAGAGGAAAAGGGTCGGGGTGGGGGCTCAAACGGAAAAGTTAATCAGAAAGTTCGCCAGCAGCTTGCTGCCTGCTGGTTCCCAGCGCGAATCCCGGAGGAGTCGGCCCTTCGGTGGAGCTGTGGGAAGCGCGGCTGATTTCCCACCCGGGTAATTGATAGCTTAATTATCTCGGAGAGCGTTTACAAAAATGTTGTTCCCCCTTCACTCTCCGGCGCTCGCTGATCGCTCGCTCACCCCTCCCCTCTTGGGGGCGCGGGGCGCGATTGGTTGTCGGTGTCTGGCCAACAACAGCGCCTGGAAGGCGCCGGGGGCTCGCCCGGAGACTCCCGAGCTCCTCTTCCCCGGATCCTTGCCTTCCCGGGATCCAGCTCAGCTCGGGCATCGCCGGGGTGATGGGCTCTCGCAGTCAGCGCCTTCAAGATCCCGGCTTGAACCTCTGAGGTTAACTCTTTTCTTGCCCAGCAGGCTCCAAAGAGGAATCAATGGACTAGACTCCTGTCTCCTGGGAGCCATAATATTATTTAATGTATTTTTGTGATTCCCCCCGCCCCCGTCCTTTCATGCTGGATGCCTCTGGAGATTTGAGCGTGAGCCAGGCCCTCTTGTTTTCTGCGCTTGAGCCTCGGGGGCTGGCCCCTCGGCTCTCCCCAGCTGGCTGTAACCTGAGCATGCTGAGCTTTCTGGAGGCGAGGCGGGAGAGCGCCTGGCAGGTTCCCAGGGGACTTCCCGCGGCGGCGCGTCTGGCTTGCGACACACACACGCACACACTCAAGCATACACACACGCGCGGACACGCACATACACACACACCAAGAGCGCTTCGCACGTGCACCTGTGGGGCTGCCTATTGCCAAGGAAGAGGATGAGGGGTGGAGATGGGTCTCCTTGGGGCGAAGAGCTAACCTTGGGCTCATGGCTCTCCCTCAGGGAAGGGTCTTTCCGGAGACGCGGAGGGTGGCCGGTGGCCACCACTTCCAATCCCACCCGTCTCCCTCCGCCCTCGCCGTCTCTCTACTCCAGGGCGCCCTGAGAGGTCAGGAGTGGGAACCTCACTAAACGGCTGTTTAAATGAGGGGGAAGGGGGACATTCTGGTGTATGGCGTGACTTGGAAGGGAAGACCTCAGAGCATTCCAGTTCCCCGAGGATGTGGAGGACCCGGTCCAGGCAGCTATCGGAGTCGTCCCAGAATTCCTGGAGCTGGCAATCTCTTTTTTTTTTTTTTTTTTTGAAACTTTGGTTTTCAAGAGGGAATGGGTGTCAGGGAGCTGGGGGCAAGCTGAGTGAGGAGCTAAGCGAGGAGCTGGAAGTCTTAAATCCCCCAGGACGTCAGCGTCAGCTGGAGAGTCTCCTGGTGCCGTCCACTTGGAGCCTCCCGCCTTCTCTGACGCATGCTGCTGAGCCCGGTGGCTGGGGACTGCCTGCTGTGGAGCGGCGGGTGCTGTCCTCCTTGGCAGCTCTGAGCCCTTTGGATGCATGTGGGGATTCGAGTTCCTGCCTCCTCCTCCCCCCGGCGCCCTGGACTGGCAGCTCAAGGCGCTCCTGCCGGGGATTTGGCTAGCGAGGTACACCAGATGGCCGAGTATAGCAGGAGCTGTGTAGGGAGACGTGGGCTTTTTATTTGTGTTGGTCTTCCACTGTTTGCTGTAAACACAGAGTGCACAATGAGCTCTGGGAGGGCCAGGCTGGCTGGAAATGAGGGCTGCTGAGGGGTGGCGGGAGGTACCCTGAGTCATTTATGGCCATATCTTTCTCTGGGTCCCGAGGCAGCCCCATCCCATCATCCCATCCCCAGACCTTTAAAACCCCCTTGCCCAGTGTCTGTGTCTGGCGGGTTCGATGAGTCTTTCACTACTTGCCAGTCTTTCACTACTAACTTGCGTATGCCACATCTGGTCGTGCAAAGTCAGAACATGCCAAATCCTGCCAATAGTGGGGTGTGTGGAGCCACCGCTAGGGGGTGCTGGTGTCTGCTAAAGCCCTAGGGCCATGCTTTGGGTTGTGGGCCCAAAGTGGTGGTGGTAAAATATCCCTGGCTTTAGGAGCTGGCCCGGTGGGATAGTGGTTAAGCTCATCCGCTCCCCTTTGCTGGCCTTGGATTTGCCGCACAGTGCCCGGGCGCGGACCTACGCACCTCTAATCAAGCCAGGCTGTGGTGCGTCCCTCGTGCAAAATAGAGGAAGATTCGTCCCGATGTTAGCTCAGCCACAATCTTCTTCAAGCAAAAAGAAGAAGACTGGCAATAGATGTTAGCTAAGGGCCAGTGTTCCTCACCAAAAAAAAAAAAAAAAAAAAAAGAAAGAAAGAAAGAAAAAGAAAATGCTGGCTTTAAAGGAAGTGAATGGAACAAACAAAAGGTAGAGTTCCAGGGCCCGCCTGGGGCAGTGGTTAAGTGCGCACGTTCCGCTTTACCGGTTTGGATCCCGGGTGCCAACATGGCACCACTTGGCACGCCATGCTGTGGTAGGCATCCCACATATAAAGTAGAGAAGGATGGGCATGGATTTTAGCTCAGGGCCAGTCCTCGTCAGCGAAAAGAGGAGGATTGGTGGCAGTTAGCTCAGGGCTAATCTTCCTCAAAAAAAAAAAAAAGAAAAAAGGTACAATTTGCATTTTACCCTAAGTCCAGTTGGGGGACCTCAAGGTGGTTTCGCACACATTGCCTACCATCCCCATTCACCAAAGTCACCTACGTACCTGGCCATCCCTCCCTCTGTTCTGCCTCTCTTGTTTGAGTTATCAGTTCTCGTACTGGTAATGCCCAGACTTAAAAGACTTTTCTTCAGATCTTTTCCTCTCATATTTCTACTCTCCCCTTCATGTTCCAGCCTGCTTTATGTAGATGGAAGTTTCCCTCAGAGGTGAACGCTCCCCCAAGTTTCTGAGTCAAGACCTCTTCCGAAGAATCTGGGTATCAGTCAATTGCATCAACCATGTGAAATTCCCTGAAAGTGATCAAGGGATGGCAAATAGTTGTTGAATCCTTAATGGAGTGCAAAAAGCTTTACTCTTGCTTTTTATTATTCATTCACATAAAATATATGGAGTAGGCACCGCTATTATTCCCATTTTGCAGGTTGCAAAGCATTCTAGTCTGAGGTCACGCTGTGGGTAAAGGGCGGACCTGGAACTGGAATTTCAGTCTACCAGACACCTACATTCCTGGTAATTGCTGAACAGGCATCCTGAGCCAAATATGCATTGAGGGGCTGGTGACATTGATGCAGAAGCATGGTGCTGGGTCCTGTGGACCAATATCACAATCATCAACATGACAAGAGCCTTTCTTCAAAGAAAATTCAGCTACAATGGTGAGCTGAAGTATCAGAGTTTGAAAGTGAGGCCTGAGTTAAATGACCTCTAATGACCCTGCCACCTCGAAGTTCCATGACTCATGGGATGTCAAAGTGCATTCTATTTAATGGTTCCAATGAGTGATGGAGATGACATTCTGTGACATCAGGGAGGGAAGACATCTCTAGAGACTCAAAGAAGGCTGGAGATACTTCCTGGACAGGGAACAAAAACCTAGCTAGGCTTTGGAGGAAATGCTGGAAGAGAAGTTGAATGTTCCAATGCAGCTTGGGAACTTAATACTGGTTAGGATCCGGAAATCTCAGCTGTGGCCCACTGTGACCTTGAACAAGTCATTTATCCCCAGAGCATCAGTTCTTTGTGCTGTAATATGAGTGGGTAGATGAGCCCTAAAATAATCCTTTGCTATAAAGATTTTATGAACTTGAAGTGCCATGACCCACTCAGTCACTCTGACTAGTTCCTCTTGCTTCTCACTGTCTTCTTTCCTTTGCCAGTAACGTGGGAGTGTCGGGAAAGATTGATTTAAAAGAAAGAATTTGAACAGGAGCACCTGCCAGTGCAGAGCTTCCGAGGTGAACCCGCACATCACTCAGTCCTCATCTGCCCTCAGGCAGCCCCAGAGTCCGCTTGTGGATTTAGCTTTCATGCCCTACACGTAGAGAAATGGCATCCTTCTTCCTGTGCTTAACAATGGTCCGGCCGGACTGTTTATCACCAGTCTTGATTCAGTAAAAGCGGGGAACAGAGATAAAATTGAGTAATCACTCATTGTCAACATTCTTACTAATTTGCTTTGTCATGTAAATCCCACAGGTGGAGAGTGTGCTCTGTTATTTGCAGGAGACCCTGTGAACAAGGAAAAATTATCTGGTGGTGTGTCTTTAAATGCACCTGCTTGAGTA